CTCTGGAGCCTGGATGGGCCCTTGGCAAACTTCCATTTGGGGACCAATCTCAACCTTCTGGCTCTACTTTTGGGGCTTTGTGGGAATGTCTACTTGGGGTTTCCATGAGCGGAATTAAAAAATATTAACAAAAGTCTTGGAAACATATAATAAAGTTATCTGCTATGATTATACATTATGTATGTATGCATGCATGTGAGTGCATGCATATATATGTTTGTGCATGTAAACTGTGATAGGCTACTTTTTAAGTGACGAACTCATGACTCATATAGATAGAAAATGAATACTTGCCAAGGATTTTATTTAACTCATTAATTGGTGACAGAATCAGCAAGATATTACAACCAGTAAGATATTATCAAAAGAGAATCCAGAGTACTGCACTTTCATAGCTAGGTAAGGTATACCAAAATAATTTTTTTAAGTTTATTTTATTTATTTTTGAGAGAAAGGGAGAATGACCACGTGTGAGTAGAGGAGGGGCAGAGAGAGAGAAAGAGAGGGGGAGTGAGAGAATCCTAAGCAGGCTCCATGCTGTCAGTACAGAGTCCAACTTGGGGCTTGATCCCACGAACCATGAGATGATGACCTGAGCCAAAATCAAGAGTTGGACGCTTAACTGACTGAGCCACCCTGGCGCCCCCAAAATAATTTTTAAATGGATACAAAATTAGTATTCCCAGGGTGATAATCAGTGACATTTCTTGAGATATAATTTGCCTTTCTATGGACAGGAATTATTGACATGACCATGTTTTCCACAAGTTAACTTCTATCTTTACAGAGTATCCAGTGACCTCGGTCAAAGACAAATTGGGGATGGACAGCTAGCCCGGGCATGTCCTAAATTCCAGTCACAAGTTTCCTTTATGTTATTTATGCATCTCCATTGCTAATAGTTTACATTAGATATGTGACTTTGTAGCTTATTTATTTTTCAGAAACTGATACTTTGTATCGAAAGAAGTAAAAGTTATTTCTTCTGAGTGTCCTCATTTCACTCCTTACTCATTCCACACTCAGTCTGTTCAATCCATTGGTCCATAGATTGTCCACGGCACTAAAAATTCTTTCCATACCAACAGTAGACACTGGAATCGAAATAGAACTCTGAGCCAGTTTCAACATATTTGGAGCAACAGGCTCTTTGTTGAAAAGCATTTCCACGTATCAAGAAATGTTGTTCTGTTGGAAAACATTTCCACGTATCAAGAAATGTTATTTTCTCAAGGCAAGGGAACAAGATACCAATGTCCTCATAAAGAGGATTTGGAGGGACTTTTTCTTTTTTCCTTCGTGGAGACAGCTTTCAGATTTGAACAATATACCAGAAGAGGGAGGTTTTCTTCATTAGTCAATACAAATGCCACATATAGGCTCCCAGAGTGTGATAAGGGAGATTTCCAAAAGCAATCTATTTCTTCAGGTATTTGACCAAGATTTGTGATCTTCCTGGCTTTTGAGCCTGTTGTTTATGAGTCCCATTTATCCCAGGCAGCTTACACTTTAATATTAATATTTAGGGACTTGATTTTTACCTTATAATTTTAATCTAGTTTGCATCTGTGGTCACAGACCCTTTCTCAATCCTAATGTTGGATATTTTCACATTTTGCCCTATTTGTAGAGGGTTTACCTGGGCTTAGCTACCATTTCTATAGGTTTGGCATTTAGTTTATTTTGTAACCTATCAATTCCTGATTTTATCTATGAATCAATTTCCCTTACTACCTAGCTTCTTGAGTTGAATGATTAATTCATTTATATTCTCACTTACATAATGTGAGAAGAGTTTAAAACCATGCATTTTCCTCTCAGTAAAGTTTTGGCCTCATCACATAGCTTAACATATGATGTTTCTCATTGTTTGTGTTTTGTTAATAGTCCATAATCCTGGCTTTTATTTTTTTCTTTGACCTAAGAGTTATGGGAGTTTTTAAATTTTTCCAAGGATTTGGATTTTTTTAATGTTTTATTTATTTTTGAGAGAGAGACAGAGAGACAGAGAGAGAGAGACAGCATGAGCAGGGGAGGGTCAGAGAGAGAGGGAGACACAGAATCTGAAACAGGCTCCAGGCTCTGAGCTGTCAGCACAGAGCCCGACGCGGGGCTCGAACCCATGAACCGTGAGATCATGACCTGAGCCGAAGTCGGATGCTTAACCAACTGAGCTACTCAGGTGCCCCAGGATTTGGATTTTTAAGTTATCATTGTTAGTTTTTCCATTCTTTGATTCAGCAGATACTTAGGCAGCATGCTCTGTGTGTTGGGAGCCATACCAGATGGTATGGGAGTGGCGGCGTGAACACAACCAGCATGGCTGCCGCCTTCACGGGCCTCGCTGTTTGCTGAGTGAGACACGTGTAATTGCACAATGAATCCCAAGTATTATAAATATTGTGGAAAAAATCTCAGGGTGGCTCACGACTTCTCAGCTTTTCTAGAAGTGAAGTTGCCTGTTGTATTTAGTGAACTCTTATTTCTTATCCCTTTTCCTGAGCATGAGTACTTTCAGGATGTGTTTGATTCAGGCAGGCAAGCAATTTATTTTCTTGTATGGTTTTTTGATGGTTTCTTTCTGAGACTTGCCATAAGGTCTGAAATCTCCAGGACCCTCAATTCATATGAGGTTTTCAGTTCATACTCTAGTTGTAATAAAAGGTTAAAACATGTATAAGTAAATACTGTTATTTTTTTGAGTAAACAACCCGTATATTTAAAGAAATAAGTCTTAAACATTTTTTTTCAGCATATTAAATGCATATGCTGATTAAATGCATTTTAGTCACTTAGTGTTTAAAAAATCACTAAGTTTCAAAAGGCTTAGTGAAACAACTAGGACTCATTGCTTCTTCCATACCTCATTCATCTTCCAGAGGCAGTCACTTCCGGTTATTGAGTAGTTTCTTCTGGTAGTTTCTGTCACACTTCCACCATTGTACTTATGCTACAATTTCTTGATCCACTCACTTTAGATAGTAGTTGGTGACTTCTTTGTATGATGGATGTTGGTTTAGTTTTGTTGAACCACCTTCTTTCTTTCCACAAAAAACATTCATATTCCTATAGTTAAATCTCTTTCATTAAAGGATTTTTCAGTGTTTTAGCTCTATTAGGAATGTATAAATACAGTTCTCTGTATAGTCAAGTAGTAAACTATGGATAACATGTCCTTCCTGGAATACCTTTATGTTTCCCTGCATTTCCAATTACCTTCAAAAAAATTCTCACTCTAACTGCCATCTATCTACCAGATAATATACACAATGCTATAATAACATAGTATTTAGTGTTATTTAATTGTAGTATAATATGATAGTATAGAATATGTATTACTATAAAGATATAATAGTGAATATTTAAAGTTATATAATATGTATAACATCTGGTAGATAGATGGTATATCTAGTAGATGCATACACATATACACACATAAACTATTATTATGCAGATTTTGTCAGATTTTTATATAATGCAGTGGACTCTTAACAAGGGTTTGAACTGCACGTGTCCACTTATACACAGATTTTTGTCAATAAATCCAGTACAATGCTTTTCATGTATTTTCTTTATGATTTTCTTAATAACATTTTCCTTTACCTTACTTTATAGTAGGAGTACAATATATAATACATGTATAAAATACGTGTTAATTATTATTGTTGGTAATGAGTAGTTAAGTTTTTGGGGAGTCAAAGTTAAATGTGGATTTTTAAAAAATTTCTTTAAATGTTTTATTTTTGAGAGAGAGAGAGAGAGATGGAGAGGGAAAGAGAGACATGGAATCCAAAGCAGGCTCCAGGCTCTGAGCTGTTAGCACAGAGCTCAATTCAGGGCTCGAACTCACGAACTGTGAGATTATGACCTGCGCTGAAGTCGGACACTTTACGGACAGAGCCACTCAGGCGCCCCTGTATGTGGGTTTTTGACTGTGTGGGTGGTCAGCTCCCTAACCCCTGCATTGTTCGAGATTCAGCTATATATATGTAGTGTGAATACATACACGTATACATATGTATACATACACATATATGTAATATATAATCTTTAAATTATATATATAACAAACATATATAATATTATCTTATATCACCAGACTTTTATGTAATATGTAGAATCTCAAGTAGTTTTCAAGTACATGCATGAGAAATAGATGTTGGGAGTCTTCTGGAATCCTGTACATTACTATTCAGAAGTCTGATGCCATCCTGAATTTACTTTGTGGGCGCAAGGTGGAGCAGATGAGTGAAGTTGACCAGATCCAGCCCTTCTGAATGTGTATGGAGGTGGGGGGGAGTGAAGGTGTTGATAGAAGTATGTGTATAGAGGCAAGGTTAACAGAGGGAAGTGTGACCTAGAGGAGCCTGGTTTTAAATTTCAGGAGCGTGCAGACGTGGCTGCCTTTGGTTGTCTCGTCTACTGAGGAACCCCAGTTGTTGGTTTGAAGTCAACGGGCAGGGTGACTTTTAGGCACATCTCCCAGGCCACTAACCTCATATTGGTATGGTCTTCTCCGTCGCCCAGGACACAGGTGACAGACTGGGTCGGGCACAGAGGCACTTGACAGGCCAGGCAGGTACACTGGACATGGCAGGGGACGTGGGCAGTCTGACGTAGCGGTGCAGTAACTCTAAGTGACTTTTTGTCTATAATCTGCTTTATTCTGTGTGGTCCTTCTGTCGTAAGGTCTGTGGACCCTTGGAGGCAGGTACTGCGCAGGGCACTCTGTCATCCTTTAGAATAGGTGACTAGGTAGCTTTGGAGGATATCTTCCGAGTGTGAAATTCGGTGAAAAATGACAACATTGAAGCCATGAAACTTCCCATCTCTACATGTGACAGCTTCTTAAAGTCTTCAGTGGTGCCCGGGATCTGGCACACCGCAGACTGCCATTTAGGATGCTTCCTTCAGTCTTTGCGCACAGTTATTCTTCTTCCTTAGCTTCCTCTGGTTTATTTCTTGTCAGTCTCAGACTCTCTACTTTCTTCCCTCTCCAGCTTTTGAATAGAAAAGACAAGACAACCTTTGAGAAATTGGACTACCTGATGTCTAAAGAAGATAATTACAAGCGGACCCGGGAATATATCCGAAGCCTGAAGATGGTTCCGAGTATTCCCTATCTAGGTAGGAGTCTGAATTGCCTTATTGTTTGTTAAGAAATCTGCTCAGTGCCAAGTAAGATGCTTTTACAGTTTCTAGTTGAGAAATATCCAGAAGCAGCGTAGGCCACGGATAAAGAGGTAATTGGTTAGCTCCTTGGATTGGAACAGGGTGTTGATACTTCCCAAAAATGGGAACCTCACTGAGAGCTTGGAAACAAGGGGATATTCTGCTTCTTACATAAGTAACCTGTGAATCACAAGCCTCCCCAGCTTCTAGCCCAGAAGGGTCACGAGACTTTCAGGTTCATCCATGTCCTCTTGAACTAGGGGAATTCAGGCCAAAACTCCTTTGTTCTGGTTTCTCTGGGCATTATGAACGTATTTTATAAGATTTACATCAACAACATTATAGTAACGATTATTGATTTCTCTGATTAGAAAGTAACAAATGCTCATTGTAAAGAATTGGGAGGAGAAGAAAATTAATATTATTTGTTATCCCATGTAGATACGATCACTGTTTTGCATCATAGCCTTTCATTTGTTTGGGTGCGTGTAAAAATCCACATTTACAGTGAGCATTTAATGTTATTACCTGCATTTCTGTACTGTCTCGGTCCTGTCGGATGGGTTTGTCAGGCTCAAATTTGCATTCTAACATGGAAATTTAGGTTGTTTCTACATTTTTATTCCTTCGTTTTTGTTATTAAAATGTTGAAGTAAACATCCATGTTGTAAAACCTCTTATATATAGTTACGATTATTACTTTACAATAAATTCTTAGAAGTGTGATTATTGGGTCAAAACATATGCAAAATCTTGCCTTTTTATGTATGTTTTCAAAATGCTCTCCTTTGAGGCTGTAGCAACTTATACTCTCATTGCAAGGAGATAAAATGTTCTGTTTTCCTCATACGCACAAGTAATGTGTATTTTCGGGTGTGCGGATTTTTTCTTTTCCTTTCTCTCTCACTTTATTTTCTTTGCCAATTTGATAGGTGAAAAATACTTCTTGTAGTTGGGTTTCATGATTATGCTACTTTTCTGAAAAAAAAAACAACTTCTTTTTGTAACCTAAAAATGGTATTATTAACAAGGGAATTTAAGGTTTTATAGAATTGGCTCCCTAATTATTTCAGAGATCTAGTGTGGTTTTCTGGCTTTGTAAGTGTCTTCCATAATCATTGTTTTCTAATTCTTTTCAAGCCACCTCGGGAAGTTTAATTTTAGTAGAAAGTTGTCCACTTGACCCAAGTTTCATTTTATTTTATTTATTTATTTTTTTAAAATTTTTTTAATTTTTTATTTCTAGGAGAGAGAGAGAGACAGCGTGAGCAGGGGAGGGTCAGAGAGAGAGGGAGTCACAGACTCGGAAACAGGCTCCAGGCTCTGAGCTGGCAGTCAGCACAGAGCCCGACGTGGGGCTCGAGCCCACGAACCGCGAGATCATGACCTAAGTGAAAGTTGGACGCTTAACCAACTAAGCCACCCAGGCGCCCCGACCCAAGTTTCATTTAAAAAAAAAAAAAAAAAAATTTTTTTAAGTTTATTTATTTTGAGAGACAAAGACAGAACATGAATGAGGGAGGGAGCAGAGAGGGAAACACAGAGTCTGAAGCAGGCTCCAGGCTCTGAGCTGTCAGCACAGAGCCTGACGTGGGGCTTGAACTCACAAACAGTGAGATCATGACCTGAGCCGAAGTTGGATGCTTAACTGACTGAGCCACCCAAGCGCCCGGACCCAAGTTTTCAAAATTATTTGCATAGAGGTTTTTTCCCCTCATTTAATTTTCTTTGACCACAGAGTTTCATGGAATATTCTTCTATAACTTTGAGCCTTCTGCATATGAATGATTGTATTTGATTTGCATTCCTGACAGTTTGCATTTTTGTTTTCTCTCTTTTTTTTAATTTGCTTTGCCAGAGGTATGTCTGTTGGTCTGGGCACAGAATTCAACTTTGTATGTATTGGCCACATTATCTTTCTGCTTTCTAGTTTACTATCTACTGTCAGTCTAGGATGTGCTCTTTCTCTCCATATTTTAACAACTCAGAAGTTGGGATGCATCTTTCAGTTGATGGCAAATGAAGCACTGCGATACCGTTTATTGGTTCATAGTTATAATGACATCATTAATTTGATGAAAGATGGAATTTCCGCTTTTGTCTCTGATAGTTCATTTCTCCTGTTTTCCTTACGTTGTTTTGTTATTTCTGTTAATTACTTTGGTTGAATTAATAGCTCATTTGTATAAATTTTGTTCTCCCCACTTTAATTTGAAAGACAATTAAGGAAACAGTTAAGGAAAACAGTTAAAATAGAAAATATTTACTCTAATTGCCGCTACCTGCTTTGTTATAGGGTTCTCAGTGATATTCTTTAAATATTCTGTGATTATAGTTTCAGTTTTTCTTTTATCCAAGTGTTAGCGAAGGTAGTGGATTTTAAGTTTTAAGGGCTTGGGTTTTCTGTTTCTGTTTTCAAATGGCTTCATTGAGATATAATTTATGTCCCACTCATTTAAAATGTGCAGGCCAGTGGTTTTTAGCCTATTCACAGAGTTGTGCAGCCATCAACACAGTTTGGGAACATTTTCATCACCCTGGAGAGAAACCCCACACCCTTAGTGGTCACATCCTTTTCCTTCTAGCCAGCTGTCTTCTGGCCTCACCCCCAGCCCTTGGCAACCACCAGTCTGCTTTCTGTGTCCACAGATTTGCTTATTCTGGACATTTCATAGAAACTTAATTGTATAGTAGGTGGTCTTTTATGACTGTTTTTTTCTCCGTTAGTATCATGTTTTCAGAGAGTTCATCCATGTTGGAGCATAATTTGTGTTTCATTTCTTCGCATTGTAAATGATATATTCCACTGTATGGATACACCACACTTTATTTTTTTTATTTGGCGGGCATTTGAATTGTTTCACTTTTTGGCTATCATGGATCACACTGCTATGAACAGCTTTAGTTTTCAAAATCACAAGTCTTCTCTTTAATATACTGTGTTTTAAATGTTTGTTTATTTTTGAGAGAGAGAATGTGCACGTGGGCACAATTTGGGGAGGGGCAGAGAGAGAGGGAGACAGAGGATCTGAAGCGGGCTCTGTGCTGACAGCAGTGAGCACAGTGCAGAGCTTGAACTTACAAACCTTGACCTGAGCCGAAGTTGGATGCTTAACTGACTGAGCCTCCCGGGTGCCCCACAAGTCTTCTCTCTAATTAATTTACATCGGTTTAGAATGTGTGGCAGATATGCTTTCTGGGTTTTAAAAAATGTTTGATATTTGTCTTGTGGTTTAATATAAGTTTTTGTAAATCTTTCACGGCTGCTGGAAAAGAAGGTGTTATCTCTCAAATTACTCCTACAGTTATATTATTTAAATTATTAATCTGTGAGAACTTGGCCTATCAGGGACCGAAATTCATGTTGGACTCCCCTTGCATTTCTAATAGCTTCTGCCTTATATAATATACTTAGCATATTGAAGCATGTAACAGTTGTGAATTCATGGTGAAGTGTCCCATACACAATGATCTTGATTCCATTTGTTACTTTGCTTTTACTTCTTTGTCTGGTATTAATTCTGTGAAATCTGCTTTATTTTTCATTTGCATTCATTTTAGAAATCTCTGACTGTACTTTGGGTTTGAATATTTTAGATTGCTTTGTTTTAGGCGTGTTCCCTGTGAAGTGCACTTAATTGGACCCAGGATGAGAGACCTTGCCTTGCGTAGTTAGTAGGGGAGTGCGCGTTCACATTTGTGTAGTCTTCATGCCACTTTATTGAATTGAACATCATTCTGGGCTTTCTTATCCTTTCTTTGCTCTCCTCTTATGACCTACTCTACCCCACAGTCTCTTCCCCCCTGACTCGCCAATCACTGTCTCACATCCTCACAGGGAGGGCTTATGGATACGGCTCACAAACCCGTTCCCACTTTGCCCGAGGCTGATCCACGGAGGGTGAGGATTGCCTAGTGCAGACCCACTGGTTCAACTACAGAGGTGCCCGCAGACCATTAGCCATGGCTTCTTCTCTCTTCCCGAGAGTGCTCATGAGAGCTGCCGCTCACTGTCTGTGTGCCTGGCACTCTGCTAGGCATTTTGTTAATGCCTCATCTCACTGAATACTCCCCATGGCCCAGTGAATAAGCAGGCGCTGAGAGGTCGCCTAGGGTCACATAGCTAGAGAGTGGCAGAGCCAGGACTTGGCCCCCACGGTCTGGCCGTGAGCCCCGGGCTCTGACACTGCCCCCTCCTGACTCCCCACCTCCACGGTCCAGGTCGTTGTTTTCCTACTCTTCCCTTGCAGTTGCCACATGTGTGTCCCCTGCTCCTTATGACTTGTGGGTGGCCTCTGTCAGACAACTGTATGGAGTGGGATGAATTATCTCGAATCCTTCTCGCGATGCTCTCTGTTCTTAGACCTCAAAGCGGTGCTGTCGTGGGCTTCTTAGGGCCAACTACACCAATACCGTCTCCTCTTTCTGCCCCCCTGTCCTTTGTAATCAGACCAAGTATATGAGTCACCTTCTCGGGTCACTGGCCAGAGGTCCCTCGTGCGTCACCCAGTGACTCTTGTCAGGCCACAGGACAGGTCCGCCCTTGGGGTGGACACATTGCCTGTGTTGGCCCTCCGTTTCCGGAGCCGCGGCCCCCCTCGTCCTGATGGCCTCATGTCAGCTGTGTCTTATGGAGTTTGGTGACGGAGAGGCCCCGTGCAGGCCCTGGTGCCGCACAGCCCTCCTGCGTCAGCCCCCGGGAGCCCAGCCTCTGCCGCGCTCTGTCCTTCCAGCCCGCCCCCCTCTCCCTGCGGCCCGTCCAGCTGCATTTCTGGTCCTCTGTCAGATGACTCCTGACATATACGAGCCAGAGGGAGAGACCCTGAGGTGACACCATTGTGCTTTCTGTTCTCAGGATGGCGTGCGCGGGTTTACCAGGGGGCGCGCCACCGTTCTGTTAAAGAGAAAGAAGCAAGAGCCCTTCTGAGGGTCAGTGGGCTCGCCGCTCTGGGGGC